TTCACGTCACCACCGCTAAGCTAAAGGAGGCTAATGTTGGGCTATACACACACACACACACACACACACACACACACACACACACACACACACACACACACACACACACCTGCTCCCTCCTGCCAATCAGGGCGGAGTAATCACAGTGAGGAATCACATTGGCTTCAAGCTAATTATAATGGTGACGGCTTATTGAATGCATTTTCTAACCAATAAATGATGTCTCTTGTGACCTTTTTGTTGTTGTTGTTATAGAAAACTATTTGATTAGAGCTACAGACATGTACTTTTCCCAAACACCTACTTCTTTCTCAGGGACCCTAATGCAATATTAGTAAATTTAAACCCGGAAATTATATAATTTACTAAATTAGGCCTACAGCGGATTAGCAATTTAGTCAAAAACTCATTTCTCAGACAGAAATAACCAGTATTTTTAAGCTGAGCTCTTGGGAAAACAAGACTTATAAGAAATATTATGAAACCCAACAAGATGTACACATTTCAGTTTAGTTATGCTAAGTTTGCTACGTTAGCTAGTTAGCCTAACAGACTTTCCATGATCAATCTAGCCATGTAATTAGTATTGAGCTAAATAAGATTATACATACATCATATTGTTGTGTCAATGCTTATTTAAATGTATATGGAAGGATAATAAAATATTTTCCTGTTCATTTTCTACTCAAAGGTTTCTACGTAGCTAGCAAAGCTTTCTATGTTAGCTAGTTAGCTTACATTTTGGCCTGAACACTTTCTGGGGGTGTTAATGTATTTGGTGTATTTAGGGCTTGTGTCTATCTCAACAATTTCAATGTTTCTACCCTGAGCATTACCCATGACCATGTGCTCTGTAATTGTTGATACAGATTGTAGTTAAAAACACACTTTAACTGTTAATCTTCTCAAGTATGAAAAACGCGAACTTAGCTTTAGTAATGCTAAGTTTTATATGTTAGCTAGTTGGCCTAACTTACCATGATCACACTAGCCATATTATTACTATTAAGCTAAATGAGATAATACAATCATTATATTGTTGTGTCAATGCTTATTTACATTCATGTCAAAGGATTCTAAAATAATTGTAATATTCATTTACTACATATGCAACGTTTTCTAAGTAAGCTTGCAGACTTAAAATGTTCCACGCTAGCTTGTTAGCCTAACTGACTTTAGATTTTCATTATATAAATTATCTTGCTAAATTGTCAAAATGGCAGATGTAAAATGCTTGACTTTTTAGCCTGTTAACCTTTATGGCTAGATATTCAATCCTATACTGATAATATATTGTATTAAACCCAACTATTAGATAAACAAATGTCAGTTTAGTTATGCTAAGTTTTCTACGTTAGCTTGTTAGCCTACCCTACTTTCCATGATCCGACTAGCCATACTACTATTGAGCTAAATAAGAATTTACATACATGATATTGTTTTGTCAATGCTTATTTACATGTTTATAAAAGGAATGGAAAATAATCTTCATGTTCATAGGTATTCAAGCTAGCAGATTTAAAGTGTTGTACGTTAGCTAGTTAGGCTATTTGACCCTGATGCAATATCTGACCAGTTTCAAATGAAAACTGTGTAAACTTTACTTTTTCTTAAACACCCTTTAAAGAAATTGCTGTACCCAATCCCTTATTGATAATATAAAAACATACTTTTTAGAGTTTTGAGTCTTTGTTTTACTTGGCTACGCAGACTCTATATATCCTGTCTCTTCTACACTATTTAGCTCCATGTTCAATTCAACTCTGCAGTTTGGAAAACAGTGTTGAACAAACGACTGTCTGAAAAATACGGAACTTTATTGATTTCTTTTGAATAACAACAGCTCTACAGTCATGGCTTGAAGTGTCACACTTTATTTACAAAAATACTGAGAACCAAACAGCTGTGGGCGAGGAAGCGTGATGACGAATGCAAGTTTCTTTTTTCGTTTTTTTATTTCTTATGAACAGCAGCTAAAGGCTCCTGGTTGCATGTTTCAGGACGCGCGTTGATGATCGCAAAGTACACCTCAGCGTTACTGGCTTCTTCCGAGCTAGGACCTTCGCCAAAGTGCGCGTCTTTTCCTCAGGCGTGTGTTCGAGAAGATCGCACTTTCGTTTTTGGGAAGATCTACTTTCTGCGGCGGGCGGCGGCTCCCTTCTTGCTGCTGTAATACGAAAAAAAAGAAAATACATGTCAGAAATGTGTGGGGGTTTTAACGGTTTGTAAATGATTGTTCAACAAAGGATGATGGCCTTCTGTGCAGAGTTTCAGTTTCACACAACTTCACAACACTTCAGACGCACACTTCAGTTTAGTGCCATGCTTGAAAAGGGGTCTTCGAATTTGTCCGAAAGCCTGTTATTCGGAGACCCAAAGTAGTAAATGAAATAGACAAACCTATAAATGCGTAAATAAGAAACCAGGGCTTTTGTTTTTGGGATAATTTACCATTGCACTTTGGTCTTACGGTATTTTTTACGAACTCCTAGACTTTCAGGGTAATGGGTTGTCAGATAAATGGCTCTTAATAGCACCTTAGCAACTAGATAAAACTACAAAATTGGTTTTCCGTCCAAAATATGAACTAATAAGTCTCCTTCTAGTACTTGTCTGGGTCAGCTTGCGATTAAACTATGCTTAACCTTGTATGCAGACAATTAGCATGTTTCTGAATATCTTATCAGAAATCACGAGTGAATTGTTACAGCAGATTTTAGCTGACTAACACAGAAAGAATACAATGTGCAGAACCTCTCGTTAGCTAACAAAGCTAATGACTAGTTTCCGAATAATTAGCATTCCCTGCAACAATCAATGTAAAAAGTCACTTGCAAATTAGCATTTATTTAGTTTAATGGAACAACATACACTGTACAAGTTCAATAATCAACTTAAGGTTTACTTTTTGGCAACCCTAAGAACTAAAGAACTGAGTCACATGCAGATGGGATAAAATGCTAATGGTTTTGCAGTCTTAAAACCCAAACTCATGCAACACTTACCTGCACAAACTGAATCATTACTGAGTCCGATAGCCAAGTAAAGTAATGTGAATACCCTCACAGTTACTGTTGTAACGGCTCTCACACACAAATAAGTAAAGGGGTCAGTATGTAGAGAGAACACCTGATCTGTACACTGAGAAAGAATGAACTACTTTGATACTTAATTGCATTTACGTTTCTTGAGGTCTTGTTTTCCTCTACTGAACGTTATATTGAACGTTAGACTGACGATATGTAATGAATATCTGTTCATCACCAGAGACGTACGA